CTCCAATGCTACCTTTTCCATGAAACTTACGCTCTCCCCTCAATTCAAAGTTAGAGTTCCCTCCTTTGAACTCTCACTGGTGACATGTGGCATGAACAATTTCTTTCTTGTGGCATGAACAATTTCCTGTTTCATAATGTTTTAACAGCTCTCATTTTGCATACCACTTTTTAGTTGACAAAGTTCCTGCTCCTTCATTATCCTATTTTAACCTTTATCTATCCAACAGCCCTGTGAGACAGGTAGTATTATTTCTTTCCTTTGAACGGATGGGGAAAGGAGGCCTAAGAAGAACGAGCTCACCCAGGATTCCACACTGGCTCAGAGGCAGAGCTGGACTTGAAACTAGGACTCCCCTAATCCTAAATCCAGTCCAAAGCCAATCCCTCCTATGTGTGTTGTCACTGCTTGTGCCAGCACCTGAATCCCTCACGAGACTTCGGGCCCTTTGTCCCCTACTCACCTGTCTGACCCACAGCTCCCAGTTTTCGGCCTGCCACACAGGGGGGCACTCCATGAATATATAGTTTATTGACAAAGTCAGAAGGAAATGACAGCTAGAGATAACAATAATCATTTGTTACGTACCCACTGGGCACCAGGAGTTTTGCATACATTAACGCTAACCTTCCCAATAACCCTATTTCAGATGAGGAAATTGAGGCTTAAGAGTTGACGCTCAGGGTCCCAAGGCCAGTAATCACCGGAGCTGGCATTTGAACCTGGCCTATAAGACTCAGAGGTAAGCTCTTCCTTCTATAATCTCTGCCCCATGCATCCTAAAGGCAAGCCCAGCTCAGAAGGCAATGGGAGTGCTCTCCTCATGTCACCAGTCTTGCCAGAGTAGGGATACATGTTCTTCTGGCAGAACATGGACAAGCAGCACATTCTTTCAGGCGCCTTTGGGACTTGGAGGTTTGCTCTCTGGACTGGGAGATCCTGCCTGGCATTCCCACTCCCATCTGTCTTTTGGGCCCCAGGCAGAGAGGAAGCAGGTGCTCAGGACTGTACAGTTCTGTTTTAGCTGGAGGACCCAGAATGGCAATAAGGGAAGAGGGAGCAGCACGGTCAAGGGGTAGATGTCTGTAAGGAGGAGGTGAGAGGGCTTCTGGACCTCACAGCTGGGAAACTAAGGAAGGGGACTGAGGGGGCTGCAGGTTGGAGAGACCACATCTCAAAGCAAGGAGGGTGAGGACCAAGGGTAGGTAACTTGACAATGAACAGGGAAGGCTCTGGGGGGAGCGTGCGGCCCACTGGCCACACCCATGGAAAAGCAAACACTCCCCGTCTCATGGGAGTGTCTGGAGAGTATGATGATAGCAGGTAAGGTGGGGGCTGGGAGCTGAGTGGAGTTGGAAGGGTAGGGGTGAGAGGTTGTTGGCAAGTTTTTTCCACTCCTTACCCTCCGCCACGCCCCAAAGAGTAAGTCTTGATGGGGACCAGTCTGCCTCTTCTCCCTGGGGGCAGGGATTTTATCTGAATGGAGCCAGGCCCATAGCCTCAATCTGCTGTTCCTATGACTGTATATATTGTGTCTTTTGTGGGTCACTTATTTTTAAGTTGTGTATTTGCAATTGTATCTTTGTATTGTGTTTCTGTGCATTGTGTCTGTGCACTGTTGGTTGTTGCTGTACTCTGCTTCACTTGTGTCTGTGTTGTTACTGTGTTGTGGCTCTATGCCTGTTATGTTTGTCTAGTTTATGTGCGTGTTCTGTTGTGGATCTATGCTGTGCACGCTGTGTGTCTCTGTGTCTATGCCCTATATGTACAGTAACTGTCCCTTTATTCTATGTTTGTGTCATGCATGGGGTGTCTTGTGAACCTGTGTTTGTGCTGTGTGTTGTGTCTCTCTATCCAGTGTCTATGCTGCAAGTGCAGGGTGTGTTAATCCATTTGGGTTGTCCTGGGTCTGTGTCTGTGCTGTGAGTCGTGTGTGCCCGCGCCAAGTGCCTGCACCTCCCCGCTGCGTGTATGTGCCAGCTGTATGTCTGGGCCCTGTACACAGAGTTGCCTATGTGTCTCCTCAACAAGTGTGTAAGCCTCCTCTGTGTGCCGTGTGCGCGGGGTCGTGCGTCTGTGTATGTTCGCGCTGTGCCTCCGTAGTGTGACCGTGTCGTGGCGCTGGCTGCCAGTCTGTGTGTGTCCGTGCCGCGTGTCTGCGCCCGGCGCGCAGTGGCCGCCAAGGATGCGCGCCCTCGGCGGGCGGGGACCCGGGCGCG